TATCCAAAGAAACCTGAAATACTTATTTGAAGAATTATATGCACCCTTATGTTCACTGCAGCATTAGTTACAATAGCCAAGCTTTGGAAGCACTCCAAGTGCCCATCAGTAGATGAATAGATGAAAAAACTGTGGTACATTTACACAATGGAATGCAACTCAGCTGTAAAGAAGAAGGGAATTTTATCTTTTGCAACAGCATGGAGGAACCTGGAGAATATTATGCAAAGTGAAATAAGCCAATCAGAGAAAGACAAATGCTGTATAATTAAATTTTTTTTCTTTATTGATATTAGAGAGAGAGGAAAGGAGAAGGAGAGAGAGAGAGAGACATCGGATGAGAGAGAACATAGATTGGCCACCTCCTGCATGCCCCCCACTGGGGATTGGGCCCACAACGTGGGCATGTGCCCTGATGGGGAATTGAACTGGTGACCTCTTGGTGCATGGGTCGATGCTTAACCACTGAGTCACACTGGCCGGGCCAAATGCTATACAATTTTAAAACCCACATTTTTTCAACTAAATCAAGCTACCTCTCGGGCAAGTCATTTCAGCTCCCCCAGGCCTCAATCTCAATTTTCTTATCAGAAAAATATAAAAGGGTTGAGTCAGAAGATCTTTAAGTTCTCTTCCAACTAGAAAAAGAAATTATATTTTAGAAACTCTATAAACTTTATAAGCCCTGTAAAATTCAGTGAAGCCATTTTTATGATAAACAAACATTAATACCATGTATTCTAAAAACAAATGATGTAGACAGTTGGAACAATTATGCAAGTCAGGATATAAAGCTTAAATTATTTGCCTTCTGTCATTTTCAATTGATGCACAATGTCTTATAGAATAGCTTCCCGTTTTTTAAATTTGTGGACTTCTTTCATTGTCATATATAAGACCATAGATTGGTCTGAAGGTATTTTAATTTAGAGTCATTTATTGGAAAAGTCTGCCTATGAGTTTATCTTAATATAATATTTAATAATATGAATAATATTTTATTCATTTTTATATTTGGTATTTCAATTTAATAAAAAATATAAGCACTTTGATTTATTTTAAATTAATGTAGTTTATGCAATTTTACTTATTTTGAATTAATTTTAAAAAAATAATTAATAATTAATAAATTTTAAAATTATATATTTTACTTGGTTTAGGAACTCAATATATATTAAGGTATAGATCAAAACTAACCACAGTATAGCAGCAGAAATAATGGAGGGGGGTACTGCTTTTATGCACTAATATTTGGAAGGTTTTAATAAATCAACTAGTATAGATCTTGTTTTGCTTATCCAGGATGAAAAAAAGAGAATATATTCAAGGTTGCTATTTCTAAACACTTTCTCCACTTAATATTTTGCAGGAATGGATAGTCTTTCATTTCAATAAATGAAGAATAAATTTAAAATAATTGACACTAGCCCTGGCAAGTTTGGTTCAGTTGTTGGAGCCTCGGCCTGCAGACCAATGAGTCTTGTGCTAATTCCGGTCAAGGGCATGTGCCTCAGTTATGGTTTGTCCCTGGCCCTGGTCGGGGTCGTGGGGGAGGCAACCAGTCGATGTGTCCCTCTCACGTCAATGTTTCACTTTCTCTTCCTCTTTCTCCCTCACACTCTATCTGAAGATAAATAGGAAAATATCCTCAGGTGACGATTAAAAAATAAATAAATAATTGACACTATATTTCTATCCATTTTAACATCTTGAGTTCCTAGAGATATATTGGTGGTGATATATAAGAATTTTAATTAGGTAAATGGCAATTTGTAGATCTGGTAAGGATATCTTTGGATCAAACTTGCATGATTTTTAAAAAAATGTATAAAAGTGTCTCTCTATTTCCTATATCTAATCAACAATCTGTTTGGGATATACATTTAATAATAAATTTAAATGTCTCAATCTACATATTGTATGGATTAAATAAAATTTCTCTCCAGACTCCTATATTTTACTACATCCCCATCTAAACAGCCTTAGACTCAGGTTCACCCTCTCCCCTTTCCCTCCTGGGTATTCACTCAGAGTCTCCATCTCAGTAGAAGGACCACATCCATCATGCTGAGAAAACCAGAAGCCCTAGAGCTACCTTCCACACTTTCCTCTACCCTACATCTCAAATCCAATGCCTTACCAAAAAAGCTCAATCATTTTATTCTTCTAAATATCTCTTAAATGTGTTCAGTTTCCTCTATCTTCCTATCATTGCCACCAATGAGTTTGTTATTCTAGCCTTTATGCATGACATTGACGCCACCGCTTTCCCCGCTTCTGTAGAGTCACTGCACGTGTGTTATCTCTTCCTGGAAACCCCTCCACTCCTACTTTGTCTAGTGAAGCTAACTCACCCTTCAGATCACAGCTTCAATCCTCTTTCCTCAGGGAAACCTTGCCTGACCTCCCTGAGGCCAAGTCTTTCTATTACAAGCCGTCATTGTGCTAGGAGGCTTCTCTCAGCAGGTGTCGCAGGTTATTTACTCATTCATTTTGTGAAAGGCACTATGCTGAGGGTACAGTGAGGACTAGACAAGCGAGGCCCCTGTCCTCAGGACGTTCACTTTCTAGGATGGAGGAAGAGGCCATTATATATGAGGACAGGTTCAAGAATACTTGCCCTATAAAAGAAGATACAGTGGAGAACTGTTATTTTACACTTATTTGTGTGATTTTTTATGAATGTCTGTCTCCCACAGCAGATCGTGTGGGACCATGCCTTACCTTTCTAATGTCTACATGCTCAGTTCCTCCCCCTTTTACCCACTACAACTACAAATTATCCTCCAAAACTAGCAAAATGTCACTTTAAGTAAAAAGTAGTTTGTTTATACATTTATAGCTAAAATTTTTCATGGATCCCTCCCAACTAAAGGAAGAGTTAGAGCATTAATCATTAAAAGGAACACTGCACCAGGTCTTGAATGTGAGGAGAAAAATGTGAACACTGATTTAAGTGTTTAGGAATAAATAGATGATTGTATAAAAACACCCCCCCCCCATTTGTGTGCCTTTGCACAGTGACAGATACAAGATATACAGAGACACACAGAGGAGCAGAGGCTGTTCTAACAGTTAGAACATTCTCTTTGGATTTTCAAAGATCACAATGCCAAAGAAAAACATTCTCAAATTCTAAATCAATTAATTCTTTAAACGTTGCTTATCAAAAACAGAAAATATCTGCTTCTAAGTGTACGATTTTGGATTTTATTATGGCAAAGATGTAAGGGGTGGGTAGGTGACATTTTTCGACCAGTGCAAAATAATGTCTTGAAACTCCAAAGTAACAACTTCTCACTAAGAAAAAGTCTGGCTCTTTCCTCTGGTAAACAGTCATCTCCTGCTTCGACTTGTCTAATTAAGTGGAAGCATGTCCTTTATGCCAGTGGATTCTCAAGAAGCTAAGAAGCCGTGAAACGACAGCAGCTGTTTACATTTGGACAAATGCAGCAACTCAGGCCCTAATCTGGGAAGTGTGAGCTCTTCTACCAAGATGAAAATTTTTGCATTAAGCAAGTTTAAATAGGAAATCTCTTAGCATAATTAAGTACTCGGAGTTCCTTAAAGTTATGGCCCAGTTAATCATTTGCTTTTAGAATGTTTTCCTCCAAGAATAGGAAAATCCTTAATGATGCATTTTTATTTATCCAAAATAGTCTTCCTTTTGCCTTTACACTTTTTTTCAGATTACATGTCTCTGAAATTTGATAAAAGAAGAAAGGATTAAGTGAATAGTTTGCTTTCATATTTAACTGAAATAAGAGAAAATCAGCAACAGAAAGATGTGTTTGCAGTTTGTTTTTTTGTATGCAGGTTACCTCCTTTCTTGATGAGTAATTGTCTAATAATAGAAGGAATTCCAGGTTTCCGGCCATGGCTCTTTATTTTATATAATAAGGCATACAACCAAACACCAACCAAGAAAACAAATGAATTTGGACATTCCCTCAGAGTTTGCTGAATTTCCTTGGTTATTAAACACAGTCAGTATTCAGTCAAAGAGCTGGCATATCTGGCTATTATCCCCATTTTGTTAAGAAATCCTATTGACCACACTATACTTCCTCTCCACATGCTCCTGCATTAGTTGCCCTTAAAAGCTGGATGGTAACTACAGGAAGAATTAAAGATGGTCTTGTGTTACTGGTTGTAACACAAAGCATTTCCATACTAGAGAAATGTGTTTGCATTTGTGGTTTTTTCTGATGCCTTCAAATGAATGTTCCTACGTCACAGCTACATCTGTTTGGATGCCTTTTTTCCCCTTGGGGAAATGAACAAAGGCGCATGTTCTTAGAACTTGTCTGACGGAAATGAACAGTCTACTTTTATCCCTGCCTTGTATAGCTTTGAATTGCTCTATTTGTTTATGCTTTCTTTCATAAGTTAATCGAAATCTAAAAATTATCACTATCTTGGTAACTTAAGAACACTCAGTATTTGGAAATAAAGGTTAACCTCCATCAGGGCCCTGGGGGATGTTACTTTAAAGGAGGAGAGATATTAAAGACACATGCCAGGGTAGAAAGCTCATGAAAATTATGTCCCACTGATCAAGTATTTGCATTATTCACTGTGCACATAACTTCCAGAATGTGATTGATTGAAGAAGAACCTAGTGGTGTTAAGTTCAATTTATCCTTTTGGACTTACCCAGAAAGTTTGATAAACAAGACATAAATTTTTTTAGTTTCAATTTTTAATCCTATAATTTTGGCATGCATCCCAAAGCCAGGGTGTCCAATATCATGCCAGTAGGTTTATACATATGGGTAGTAAGACACATAAACTGGCTGGAAGGGAATTCCCATCAAATGTTGACCAGGTCACAGAGATGAACAAATCTTCACTTGTTTATAAACTGCACACAGTCTGAGAACTAATAGTTAACCAAGGGTTTCTCATAAGCCTGGTTATGAAAGCAGTGTTATAATCCAAGCAGGAATAAGTTACATGTACACATTTTTAGAAAAGAAATGAAAACAAATGGTACTTACACTTTTGCTCCGAGAAAGCAAATCACAAGTATTTCTTTTCATGGTGGTGTCTAAAGTAATTCAGACGGGCAGGACTCGTTTCCACGGTCACCGCTCTCACTGCAACAATTATCCCCTCAAAAGCCAACTGGCATTCTGAAGAGAAAGGCAAGGAAATGTTTAATCAAGTATATGATTAACACGTGTACTTCGAAATGCTGTCTTACAGTAGGACAGTAATTCTTAAATTATTCATCAGAATAGGCTAAGATTATGCTGTGTTTAAAGCAGTAAAAGTACACATAAGTATTTCCAAAACAGCTTTTGTGAAATGTAAGTTAGAGATTTCAAGCACCATCTGTTTTCCATTAAATATTCACATCTACGTTTCTAGTAGCTGAAAAAAAGTAAGTATCGTAGCCACCACCTAAAGTTACATGTATGTAATGAAACCACAAACAGTATTGGGTATTTGATGATTTTTGCTGGTACAGCTAGGCACCCCTCGATTTTCCACCAGTGGATCACTAAGGTAGACTTTTCCACCACTGGAGGACTCTTGTCTACATCTGAGAACCCTCTGAGCACTGCAGCATGGCCTCCTGGTTTACTAGCAATAGTCCACAGTACAGTGAGCCATCCCAGTGCCCTTTAGTAAATTTGGTGAGTTCTCTACCATTTTGGCTCAAAGAGATTATAAGGGATGGTTTAGAAGAACAGTTTACCTAATTAAGCAATAACTATTTGTCAAAGAATATCCAGAATAGTTGCCACTTGAATAACATGATAGCCTCATTACCTAACCTACACTTCCACTTGACACTAAGAAGGCAAAGTTCTATTTTGAATTATGAAGAAAAAGCAAAGAGAATAACTATGGTGCTGTGTCATTCTGATATTCAGATACACACACAAACACACATACACACACACACACAAAATATATATATATTTGCATTTATCTTGAGACAGAGTGGGAGGGGGAGAAAGAGAAACATCAATGTGAGAGAGACACATAGAGTGGTTGCCACCCACACCACCCCAACCAGGGCCGGGGACAAACCGCAACCAAGGTACATGCCTTTAGCAGGATCCGAACCTGGGCATCTCTGGTCCACTGGCCGATACTCTAACCATTGACCCAAACCAGCCAGGGCTCAGCTATATTTGGGCATTGTTTACAAATCATAGGATATATTTACATGTGGGATGAGGGGCCTTTTAGGAAAGAAATCACTCCATGGGAAACAGGGATGAGGCAAATAGGCTTGACCAAAATACAAAAAATCTGACATTGCAGATGTTGGCGGACATTACAGGTGCAGACGGATTCTAACAACAGCGTGTATTCTATCATTTGGATTTGTTCTGAGCTTCTCAAAGATTTGTGTCTGAGGTTTACGGAAAAAAGTAACAGTGAACAAGGTCTGAAGAAATTGTTTTTGCTAAAATGATTGAAAAATATCAAAGTGCAGAGTAGTGTGAATTATATATTCAAAAAAACTGACTATATATATTTTTTAAAGCATACAAAACAAAAGGAGAGAGGACTCCATGGATCCCAGCATCTCTGTGGGCCCATGGAGGAGGCCAACCCTCAACAGCAGGAACACCCAATGGTCCCCCACGCCAGTGGAAAGGGACCTTTGCAAAGCCCTCCAGCAACCAGCAATGACACACTCTCACACTCTCTCAAGGATCAAAGACTTGTTTTGAACACGAAAGTCACCTCTCAAGACTTATAAAAATAAAAGGGAAATTTTTGTTGTTGTTGTTGCTAATCCTCACCTATATATAGAGTGGTAGGGAAGGGGAAAGAGAGAGAGAGAAAGAGAAACATCCATGTGAGAGAGACACATCAATTGGTTTCTTCCCACATGATCCTGACAGGGGCTGGGGATAAACCTGCAACCCAGGTACATGCCCTTGCCCAGGAATTGAACCTGTGATCCTTCAGTCATCGAGTGGATGCTCTAACCGCTGAGCCAAACTGTCCAGGATGGAAGATATTTTTAAAGAGGCCAGAGAACCCATAACAGTAAAGTAGAGCTACAGTTAAAGAAATAGAGTTTATTGTTCCTAAGAATATGCCTAGATGCAACTTGAATACCTAAAGGGCATTGAGGGACAAAGCTTTATTCTAGGGTTGATGAAAATGCCCCCTGAAGTTAAAGAAAAATATACAAATATGAGTTGCTAGGATAAATATAGTTCTTTGAGTGTGTATGGGTTTTTTAAGGGTATGGGCATTGGAGGAAAGAGCTGATCCACAAGTACAAAGTTCTCAGCTAGTACACCTCCAGGAATTTAATCACCTTTACTCATTAGTTACAATGCCAAGCTTTTTTTTTTTCCTTTGGTACATGCCCCTAGCGGGAACCGAACCTAGGACTCACTGGTCTGCAGGCTGAAGCTCCAACCGCTGAGCCAAACCTGCCAGGGCTCAATGCCAAGATTTTTATCAGTTCTCAGAAAATGTGGAATTATGTTATTCACCTAGATCAATTTAAGAAGTGAGCAGAAATCATATAAATTGTGAACTAAATATTCCATACCTGGGGGGAAAATAAAATCCCCTAAATGCTGCAGGAAGCATACATACTATCAAAGAAAAACTTATTCAAATATTTCATTATTCATTTAGTATTTAATGAGTACTCTTATGGGCAACCATGGAATAGTGGACTAGCGATGCAGTAGTTTTAAGTTAACAAGTGAAATCAGACAAATGATGGATTTGACCTGAGGATTTGCTAAGTTAATCAGATTTTTAACAAATTTATCTTGACATCATTTAAAGACCATCATTAAGAGATACTTTCCTATAGGAATTTGTAACCTATAAAAATTGAAAGAGGCAAATGAATTTAACTGAAAACTGAGAGTTATGGGATGGCCCTTAGCCTGTATATCGACCTAGGAGGCACCATGGACTCACTAAAACAGTGTGGACCTTGGAACGCAGTAGGCATAGGTTAAAATTTCAGCTCTGTAATTGCATTCTGTGTAGCTTTATGTAAGTTACTTAACCTCTCATCTTTTTCCAGATCTGCAAAAGGGAGATAATAACACCCATGTTGTTGTTTGCCATGTTTAAATGAGTTTTAATGTGTATAAAGTAATATGCAGGGAAAGCTTGGCTCTCATCATCATCATCTTTCATTACTACCTTTTCCTTCTCACCTATCAAATGGCAACCAACAACAATCACTCATTCTTATTTTTCCCTAAAAGTGGCAAACCCCCTCAAATAAAACAACCAGGCAAATGTACTTTTATTTTATTTTTTTTAATTATTTATGGATTTGAGCAGAGAGAGAGAGAAAGAGAGAGATTTTGATTTTGTACACTAATTTATGTATTCAATAGTTGATTCTTGTATGTGCCCTGACCAGAGATCAAACTCCCAACCTTGGCATATCTGGACAATGCTCTAACAGCAAATGTACTTTCAACTGCACAATAATGAACAATGTGTGGGTTGGAGTCCCAGGAGTAAACAGATCGTATGCTCATATTAGGATAATTAAAAGAGGGTTTAGTAAAGAGACTATTGAAGATGTGACTAGAGTAGAGGAATCCACCAAAACTGGTGCAGTTCTTGGACTGGTAATAATGTAGTTCCTACTACCTCCAAGCAGAGGGATGGGTCACCCATACCTAGGAAGAGAGTCATAGAGTCAACTGCCTTGAAAAGGGAAGTTATTTCCTGGGACATGGCCTCAGGTGAACCAGAAAGGAAGAAGATGAGGAGGCAGATAGATCTCATTCTCCTGCCTCCTGCTGATTTTCTGCTGGGACTCCCCACTGCCAGATGCAGCAAAGCAGGGGTCAAAGGTTGCTGCTGCTGCATGGACACCTGACCGCTCAACCCCCAGGACAGAAAGCCTCCTGGGGTGGGGCAGGGGGAACAGTGGAGCTGGAGGGGACATGGAAAACGTGCCACACAAATCTGACCTGACATCTCTGGAGGAGACTGCACTTTTCTGCTCCGTCATTTCATCATAAGAATAATATCTATTATTTATCCTTAATCCTCACAGTAACCCTGGGAGTTAGATATTGTTACTACATTGCCCCATTGTACAAAAGGGAAATCAGCTCCCACAAGTAAACTAAATTGCCCAGTAAATAGCAGAGCCAGGATTCAAACCCGATTTGATTTGTCTGACTCCAAAGTCCATGTTTTTTCTACCCTGCCACAGGGCTTTGCTGCCAATGTCACAAACCAAGGGGTTGTAACTATCAACAAGTGGTAACCTATGCAAATATCAAAGCTGTGCCTACACGGAAGAATGTTTGATTTAAAAGGTTTACTCTCAGGAAGGCAGTTATCTTGGTTCCTACAAATCCTTCCCTCAGCAAAGACAATGCTGTAAGACTGCAGCAAAGCGTTCTCCCTCCAGGTGCACCATAGAGAAACCAGGTGTGAGAACACTCACACGTGCAATTTCATTACTGCAGGAATTTCCATATAAAAGTTCATTGGGGAGAAGGAAGAGTCAGCTCCTGCAGGGAGAACACTTTAGAAATAAAAATGAACAGAGAAGGTGGGTAAGACAGACGGTGCTGAAGCATTCAGAGATGGGATCTGAGCTGAAGTGCCTGAATACATTTTGCTGCTTTGATGAAAGGATAAGGGAGTTAAGACAGGTTCTTTCCGAGAGATTAAGGATTTATATAGTGGAAAAAGCCCTGGACTGGGCATCAGAAGAAATAAGTTCTACTTTCATCCCTATGTCATATACAGGAGCTGTGTGGTATTAGGAAACTCTCTTCTCTTTCTTTCTCTACCATTTGCTTGCTTCTCTGTAGACTGGAGATAATGATATTTTCAAACCCACCTCAAAGGATTGTTATGAGAATTAATTAGATAATGTCTCAAAAAGTGAAGAGAAAGCCCTCATAGGGCACCCTGGAGAAAAGAGAGATGGTGTAAATGGCAGGAAACCCCTGTGGTCATCTTTAGATCTGGACCAAGAAAGAGGCTTTTCTCTTCATTCACAGCTTTAGAAGAAATGAGGAAGTACCAGGGACTTAGCCACTGGGGCAAATGTCTTAAGTTACCTGTCTTCAGTGTGGGGAGGGCAAATGAGTGGATGCTGCAGAGCTCAGGGCAATAATTCAAACTTTCTGAAAAGTCTGGTTTG